AACTCAAAAACAAACTTATAGACTAAAAATCAAAGGAAGAAAAACAACACTCCATGCAATGGGAACCCAGAAAAAAAGTGAAGGTAACCATTCTGTTTCCAGACAATGCAAACTTCAAACAAGAATGATCCAAAGAGATAAAGAAGTTCACTATACACTTGTTAGGAGAAAACTTCATAAAAAAGAGGTAACATTCATAAATACAAGTGCAAGAAATATGGGAGTATCCCCCAATGTAAGACATATATTAATAGATATAAAAATCAAACAAACAATAACACAGTTATAACATTGGACTTTAGTACCCCATTATTACAAAGAGTCAGATCAACCAAACGAGAAATCAGCAAAGAAATAACATTACTGAATAAAATTTGTGAACAATGGAGCTAGTAGATATGAACAAAGTGCTCCATCCAACAACATCAGAATAAACAGTCTTCTCAGATGCACATGCGTCATTCCCTAAAATAGACCATATAGTAGCCCAGAGAATGTGCTTAAGTAAATGCAAAGGAATTGAAATAATCTCATGCACAATATCTGACCATAGTGCAATAAAATTTGCAATTAATGACAAAATACTAACAAGAACCCCATAAAAACATGGAAACCAAATATTACTCTCCTAAACAACCAATGGATCACAGGAGAAATTAATAAAGAAAATAAACAATATCCATAATCCATAATCAAAAGAAAATGCAAATATAATGTATCAGAACCTGTAGAACAAAATGAAAGCCATGTTTAGAGGGAAATTTACAGTAATAAATTCCCACATTTTGCAAATGGGATGAATGAAAACAAGCTAATGCTGCACCTCAAATTTCTGGAAACCAAAGAGAAAAATCAAGCCCCCTGGCCAAAGAAGGGAGGAAATTATGAAGATCAAAGCAGAAATCAATGCAATCGAACCTAAGAAAACAATAAAACAAATTAATGAATTGGAGAGTTGGTTCTTTGACAGAATAGATAAAAGTGACAAACTTCTGGCCAACCTTATGGAAAAGAGGGAAGAAAAAACTCAAATCCACTCAATAAGGAATGAAAAGCATAAAATCACAACAGACCCTGGGGAAATACAGAAGATCATCAATATCTACTTAAAAACATATACTCTCATAGGTTTGATAACACAGAAGAAATAGATTCCTAGAAACACATGAATAATCAAATCTGGATCAAGAAGATGTAAAACTTCCAAATAACTCAATTTCACTGAACAAAATTGAAAATATAATTAGAACCTTACCAGAAAGAAAAATCCAGATCCTGATGGATTCACTGCTGATTTCTACAAGAAATTCAGGAAACATGTACTGCCAACATTCCTTGAATGTTTCAATGAAATATCATGGGAAGCAATTTTTCCTAACACATTCCTGGAGACAAATATTACCCTGATATCAAATTCAGAGAAAGACTCAACCAAAAAAGAGAATTCCAGGCCAATCTCTCTGATAAATATACATGGAAAAATCCTCAATACAAAACTGGCACACATAAGGCAACAAATTATCAAAAAGTTCAACAGCAAAATCAAGTGGAATTCATCCCAGGAATGAAAGGTGATTCAACATTCAAAAATCAATAAATGTAATACAGAAAATCAACAAAGCCGAAGATAAGAATCTCATGGTCATCTCTCAATAGATGCAGAAAAACCTTTTGATAAAATCCAGTACTAATTCATGGTAAAAACCCCTTGGAAAATTCACATAGGTGGTGTGTTCCCAGTCTGGCTTTTATAGCCATAAATTATAAACCAATTGTCAACATCTTACTCAGGGATAAAAGAAGAAAATCTTTGACTTAAAATCAGGAAAAAAACAAGGACTCCACTATCACCAATTCTGTTCAATATAGTTCTGGAATCATTAGAGAAATTAGAGAAGAGAGAGAAACGAAAAGTTGTGGGAAAGGAAGAAGTCAATTATCATTCTTTGCACATGACATGATGCTCTACGTAGAAGACCCCAAATTTCCATTGAAAGACTTCTAGAAGTAACATCCAAATTCAGTTATATACCTGTAAACAGAATCAACAACTAAAAACAATAGCATTTTATACACAAACAGCAAACTCACTGAGGGAGAAATAAGGGAAAAGACACCCAACACAATAACACCCACATAAATGAAACACTTAGCAATCAGTCTAACAAAGGAAGTAAAAAATCTATACCTTGAAAAGTACAGTACCCTTTAAAAATAATTAATGAGGATTTCAGAAAATGGAAAAACATTCCTTCCTCATGGATAAGAAGAAGACACAATGTGAATCTGTACATTCTCCCAAAATTGTTATACAGATTTAATGGAATTCCAATCAAAATAACATTAGCATACCTCCTATATCTAGAGAAATCACTCCTAAAATTCCCCTGGAACCAGAAGAGAGCTAAAATAGCAAAGGCAGTTCTGGACAACAAAACAAAGACAGGAGACATCACGATCCTTGACCTGTTCTGTGACTCTGTTTTTGGAAGAATCCAGCGGAAGCAGTGGCATCGTTTTCATGACTATGGGAAGCTGTGACAGGGCAGAGGAGTCCTGGTATATGACGTAGTCACCAACTCTGTAGCCTTTGACAAGTCTCTCCTAGAGCCAAACGTCACTCATTGAATGTAACCTTCAGATTTTGATGTAGAGGGAACTAGAATTGAATTTTTGAGAATCAGATTGAATATTCACCTAAGCTGAAAAAGCTGATATATAGAATTACTTCTTTTATTTTATTTAGGTGTTCTGTTTTGCTTTGTTTGAGATAGGTTACCACTACACAAGTCAGGCTTGCTTTGAAATCATTTAGTAGTCCGGGCTGTGCTGAAACTCATGGAGATTCTCCTTCCTCAGCATCCGGAATGCTGTGATCACAGGCTTCAAGGCCTGGCTGATGTCATGTAGACACTGCTTCTCCCTGAGAGCTTCTGGTGGTTCTTAGCTGACTCCATAGCTCAGAGCCCCTGATGTGACTTCCTGTCCCTGGAAATGCCTGTTCCTGAAGCACAACCTTTGCTTTAACTAATAAATTTTAGATATTATTTTGCCCGTGTGTTTAATACCATTTTGCTTCCTTTTTCTTTCCTCCTGTCATTGACCAGATATTGCAGTTGAAGATTATAGATTCCCTGCTTTTATAAGCAATTGCACAATTGTAGTAACTTTTCAAATATTGGTTTCCAAATTAGTATTTTCAAATTTCAGTCATATTGTATCTGAGCTACTAAGTACAGAGACATAGTAACTAAAGGTAAAATGTGTTTTATTACTTTATTTTATCTACTGTCAAATTGCCACTTCATCTGCGGTGTTTTCTATGTTATTGTAGTTGTTGTCTGGAAATGGAAATCCTTCTCTAAGTTTTAAATGAGACTACATATTTTAAATGTACTAGTTCTTAAACTGTCTTAGTAAGCCTTAGGATTCATTTGTTACTTTTACAAAAGGTCAAGTAAAAGCACAGTGACAGTGTCAATAAAGGTAAATAAAGGGTATCTATTTTGTCATGCTGAAGCTTTAAAGCAATCTTCTGCATAACTGCAGTGTCCAAAATGGCCCTGAATGCATTTTCAGTAATGGGTAGGTTTTTTCTCAGGTTAAGTATTCTATCTTAGTCTCTCGTAAGGAAAACTGAGGATATTCGTATGTTAAAAAACAAAACAAAACAAAAAAACAAAAAAGCTCCATATCTCCTGCTGGTAATACTTACACCTCATGTCTGTTACAATCCACTTTGTTGTCTTACTCTTTCTGATTCACCTGGTCCTCGAGGACTGCGAAGCAGCAGCCACAGCCAGTGCCCTACATTTCTTAGTGCAGTCCACCTGGCTACTTCAGCTTGGATGTTTCCTGGAGGCAAAAAATCCAACTGGAGTAAAGCCCAGCATGCCAGGCAAAAGGTTGTTTGAATCCATTCCCTCCACTTCTTGTTTTGATATGCCCAGTTGATAACTGGAATGTCTTCATGGAGACTTACAAACTGAACTTAGGTGTGTGCTTCCCACAGCTCTGCTAGGCTGGAGTGAGGCAGGAGGGGAGTTCCCCATGGGGCTTGTCAGTGTATACCCTGTAAAATGTACACTGTATTCCTGTTTATTAACTTGTATTTAATATAGACTTAGGAACTGAGCAGCTACAGTTTTTCGTATTAAATTCTCTTGATTCACTAACTACTAATCCGGATCAAGAGCAGAAATGCAGACAGTGAGGGGAGGAATAGGTCATTGGGAAGTGACTTTTCTCATGGGAAATGTGGGCTGTGGGTTGGGGAGATACCTATGAGGTGGAGACTCTCTTGGAGGAGGCAGAAGAGGAAGCCTAGGATGCCAGCGGCTCCTCCCACAGTGTTGGAAGAGGGTGAGCAGAGCTCCTTGCTCGGGCTGGCCTACCTTGATGGGAAGGACCATGCAGGCAATGCTTTGTGCCAGCTGAGCTCTTCATCACACTGACAGTGTGAGGATCTTGGCCTAAGAGGGGAGCCTTCATCTCCATGGCACGCAGAATGTCTTTGGTGAGAGCATTTCCCCTCCTTAACTCCCTGAGCAGGCTTCCAGCAGTGGCAGCTGCAGCCCAGTTCTTGCGGGCTTCCTTCTGCATGCAGGTCACCTGCCTTTGGTGGGACTGAATGGTTTTCTCCCACTCCTCCTGCATATCCTGGGCTATCTTCCTGTAGGTCTCCAGCTCTTGAGCAGTGTGGCCCACCTCCTCTTCCCGTATGGGCGGTTTCTTTCCTTCCTCTGCCCGGGGTTTGGCCTGCTGTCTCAGTTTGGTGTGGCAGCGCAGCACAGTTTGGTGGTGTACCTCGCCGCTCACTGTGACCTTCTGCTGAAGCTTCTGGCACTCCGCTCGCAGCTGTGCTTTGGCTGACTCCAGAGATCCTTTTTGAGACTGGAGATGGTACAGAGACTCTTGCAGTTCTTTCTCAGTTTTCTCTGCCTCCCAGAGATGAGTGTGAAGTTGGTTTCTTTGTTCTTCCATGGTCTTTAAGGACGCATTTAATCGAGCACCATAGACAGTTTTTCCAAAGGCACTCTTGGCTGATGACCTGAGCCAGGACCATTTTCCAGTTGACTCTTGACTTCAGCCACTTCTTCCTTTCCCCGTTGAGCTTCCTGGGAAAGCTGTGAGTGGCTTTCGTGGAGTTGGGCATTCTCACTCAGAGCATCTGTCCTTTCTCTCTGGAGCCGCTGTTTGCGCATGTTCCACAAGGCGAGATTCACGTTAGCTATTTCGGAAGTCACTGATGTTGATTCCTCTGCTAGGGACCGGATCCTGTTGGCTATCTCTGCCATCTCTGATCGCTGTTGTCGAACACATTCTGATTGCTCTTTTTTTCGCTCTTCGAGGAGGCGGTCGATCTGCCCTCGAATCTTGGATCTGTTCCTCAACACCAACACTTTCTTGTTGGCCATCTCCCACCGCTGTGCTGCCCTGGCCTCCTCTTCTGGGCGGTCCTCCTTGAGAGCCTCTCTAAGGCTTCGTGTTCTTCCTGAAGCTGGCTGAATTGGGCCACGAGTTGGCACTTTTCTTTAACGAGTCCTGCGAGCTGGAGAGCGAGCTGTTTTTCTCCGCTCACTGCCAACCGACTTCTAACAGAACGAAAAGTTCTCCATGAAATCAAAAGAAGGGTCAAAAGACCCACAGTGTCTGCCCACTCCATCACACAAGGCTGCGTGACTAGTTGGCTGAGCCCCAGTACTGGCCTGGAATGTTCAGTGTTTGGTCCTGAACCTTAGCGACGGGAGTGGCCCACTGCTGAGCTGGTTAGGGGGTGAATTGAGGGGAACTCGGGGAAACATGATTTGTCAGGCATCATGGACTCAGTTTCCCTCTGCTGAGAGATCTTCAGGGGCTCTTATTTTGCTCTCTGTCCTGGAACAACCCAGTGCCACACATCCCCATAAGCCTGCCATGTGCCCATCCTTACAGCCCCACCCCTTCCCATTGGTTATCTCTGGGATGATGGTGTTATGTGGGGGTGGGGAAGGAAAGCCAATGTGGAGATAACAGTATGCTGTGTCTCCCAAAGTCTAAGAAGTGCATTTTTGAAACACACAGCCTAAAACACTGCCAGACCACATATCTCATAAGTCACTGAAATTATCTTGACAAGGAAGAAAAGTCCTTTGTTCACCAGGATGGTTTCTTCTGCCATCATTAGATATTTTAATTCCAAATTTATTTACACACCTTGATTGTCCACATACCACATGTTCTTGTGTGTGCTCTGGGTCTCTCTATTTATTCTTTTTCCTTCTTGGATTTAGTGACATTTGGCTCATTTTTTTCTTTGACGTCCTTATTTGAAGTGTTATTCTCATTCTATATTCCCTTCCTGACTGATTTAATCAACTTGTGCATTTTTAAACTATCACTTCCTGTCTCTCACATGTATATCTCCATCCCTGGACATCCCTTAATTCCAGCCCCATATGACTGGTTTCATGTTAAATATCTTCTTCAGTGCCTCAGACAATCTCAAGCAGTATCCATCTTCCCCTCACCTCCTCTCTCTCTCTGTTTGTTTCTCTCTTTCTCTACCTCTCTCTCTGTCTCTGTCTTTCTCTGTCTTTGTCTCTGTTTTTCAGGTCTTGCCATGACCCTTATGTTTTTTTTTTTAATCTGGAATATTCTTCCACGTCAATTTGTCCTCACTTGCATCAATTTTCTCATTCATTTAGGAATATTTTTTTGAGAAGAATGTGTGACATGCTCCTTCTCTAAACTCCTGAATATCTTGCTCCCATCTCATGATTGAACAGCATGGTATAATTTAATATCTTGTCTTTCTGCCATTGGGCATTGCCATGCAGAGCAAGACTACATGTAAGCAAATTCATCCCCTTACCATTTCCAGTATGCCATTATAAAATAACAAGAAGTTTCATTTGTAGTGTATCAATGAGAATTCTGAAATATGGGAATGCCTTACATATTTATTTGAATCCTCTTAACTGATACAATTTAAATGAGTAAAACCAGGGACAGCACGGATTTCTAGTTATACAAGGAGCTTATGTTCTGTCCTATTCTGTCAGAGTCTCTGCTCTTCACTGGGTTGACAAATGAAACATGAAGGGAAAATTGGAAATGGGAGAGGGAATGAGAGCCTGCGGGAAGGGATAAGTAGAGCAATGGACAGGGAGGACCATGGATTTGCTTTTTGTGTTGTTCTCTGAATTTGAACTGACAGGTAGGAGGAATCCACCTTGCAGTGATTATGACTGACTGGCCCTCAGTGCCTCCATGCAGGAATGAGTTTCTGAACTTCACACCTTGAATAAAGACTTGAGGCTGTGCCCAGATGTCCACCTATACATTGTATATAGACTGAATCTCACAGACTCATTTTCAATGCAAATAATCTTCCTGTCTATTCTTACTTTACTGTAGAAAGCATCTTTAGCCTGAATTCACGACAGAGATTCCTTCCTGGAGATTAATCCTCTGAAGAGGAAAGATAAATTGTGGTACATTACTTAAGAGCATCTCTGGCAATATGCAGAATTAATCAATCCTGGTATTATTGCGATCCAGTGGTAATCAATCCAGCACTGCATCTAGCATTCAGAAGGTTAAAAGGGTTATTTTCTAGGATTCTATCACAGCTATGGATTCAGCTGTGAGGTTTAATATCCACCCAGGTATGAGGATGCAGGCATGAGGAGCATGTCACTGACAAGACAGATGTTCTTTAACCTTCTGCTGACATACAGCTTTCAGCATGTTCTTTTCTCCATTTGTTTCAGATCAAAGATGAGCCACTAAGTCAGTGGCTGTCCTAGGCTAATTCTGTAGCCAAACTGAAAAATAATTTTTTCTGTATATCCTCCCAAAGAGAGAGAATTATTTTTTCTTAAAAAATATGTTCTAACAACAGATTTTTACATTGATTATAGTGTGTTAGTTCTTTTGATGTTTACAAATCAACTTCAAGCTTCTGTACTTATAATCTTGCATCTGCTCTAAATTTCCACAGTAGCTGAACTACATTATATGGTTTCTTCTTGAATCAATTCATTTATTTTGTTTTATGCTCTACCCTTAACCACGTTGTCTTGGAGCATAACTTATAGTCTGCATACCACTTGATGATTGATCGTAAGGTTGAGCCCTAGGGGTCTACCAGGAAGGGTGTATTGTGTTAGGACAAGCAGACATGGTGCTGCCTTCACAACTGACTCTTCAGATTACACAGATTTTTTCCACTTCGTAAAACTGTACTGGATTTGGCTCTTCTTCAATGACTAAATTTTCTCTCCAAGGCTTGCAAAAATCTCTATTGGTCTATTCTTGCCTAACCATCTTTCTAAAATCATGGTTGGGTTTTACTTGTAAGACAGTGGAAAATGACAATAATAAGAGTAGGTTACAAATGAACCCTCAGATATCAGTTTATGTCATGTTTTTCCAAAATTCTAGAAATAAATTTTCAATAGTGAGGCCACAACTCTGAGAAAGACTCCATTATTCTAAAATTCATTAATTAAGTATATTCTCATGGCAAGATATAGATACATGTATCCTCAAATTTGGATAAAACTTCACTTGTAGTTTGATATGCTTTCCCTCAGCATTTTTGCTCTTGCAGTTACATCAGGTAAAATACTAGATGGTAATATTTTAACTTGGTAGATGTATGTTATTAGCATATATTAATTTTACAAAATATACAGTTTTGTTCTATTTTCATAAATGTTTATAATATATGTTGATGATATCCAACCTCACTAATGCCTCTTGCAAGCTTTATTCTTTTCCTTTTGTATAATAGTAATGTCACTTCTATTTTCATATCTTTTTAAAAATGTACTTCATCATAGAAACAACACATGATGAATTATCTTTCCAAGTCTACCATATTATTTAATGCAATAATGTCCACTTGCATCCATTTTCTGACAATTGACATAATTTTTATGGCTGGATATACTCTATTTTGTATGCATACCTAACCCTAACCCTAACCCTCTAAAAATCATTGTAGATGAGAAAGGGACATCAAGAAAAGAATGAATTTCTCAGCGTTCTGAGTTGTGGACCCTTGGATGCACCACACAAAGAAGTTCTTTGACGAGACTACAAGAAGATTTTTTAAATTGTGATTTAAAAAGACTGCATTTCTTTGAAGCATAGAATCTACACAAATAAGAAAGTGTAGAATTAGAGTCCCATCATAGACAACTATCAACTTATGCTTTTTTTTAACTCCATTTTCGTCACCAGAAGTTGTTTCTTCAGAATCTTTTGTTTCTGTTTCATCATCCATGTTACATATGTAGAGGGAATACGCAACATTACAGTCTCAGACTTCAGAAAATGGGATGAATTTTGAAATATAAGAAGCAATATTTGTGTTAGAGAAATGGTAAGTATATTCTCCTTAGCACAATAAATGTGAAGTTCACTTTGTGTGTGTGTGTGTGTGTGTGTGTGTGTGTATGTGTGTGTGTAACTACAGAGAATAATTGTGTCCAAGTTAACTAAATCTCAATTAATTTGTTTCTTTTTATTTCACAAAGCAACCCTTTGAGCCAGAACTAGGTATTTGACTACCTAGACTAAAGACTATCTTTTCTAGAGTCTCTAAAAGCAATATATGTGACTAAGTTCTAGCTAATGAGTTATAATAATATATGGTTTATAAATGTTCAGAAACATTGATTAAAAGGCACATGTTCTTTTTTCTTTCATGTAGACTATGACACAATGGGTAGTTATTCAGAAGCTAGACTTGATCACATTTTGAAAATTCATATACAAGAGATGACAGGAGAAAGCTGAAAAAAAACTTCTACATCATTAATATAGTGTTGGTCTACAGCTTTTAAATGTAAGACTATAAAACAGCTGAGAAAGGCATGTAAGAAAGCCTGCCTTAATTAGAGTATTCTATTGTGTACAGCTAATTTCTGATAACGTGATGAATATTCAGTTGCAGAATTACGTATGATGATAAACTCTAAAAATATGTAAAATTCTTTAATTGTATGCAAGATGAGAAGAGCAACCATAACATTTGTTATTTAATATTGTTTAAAAATGAAATCAAGCTATATCTTTTTTTAAATTTTATTTAAGGACAAAAAAAAGCAGAGAAATGGTACAAGTTATACAGATTTATAGAAAAAAATAAACAGTAGGAAATCACTAGTTAATGGATTATATATTGTCATCTTAGAAATAATTGTTCAAGTTACAAAATTAAAGCTTGTAAAGTGGACATTCCAACAGTGAGACTGCAAGCAGTTCTGTTCAATGATCCAACAACACTCAGTGATATCATTATCTATCATATACACTTAAATATACATGCAGTTATATCATTTAGAGCACTTTCTTTTCCTCTCTTTTGTACAATGACAATTACACATTTTGGGTTTTGTTGCTCCCGCAGTTCTTATTACTTTTTTGGAAGGGAGTAGAACCAAATGTGACATAACAGAACAGAGTCAATCAAATCAAAAGGGTGGACATAATAGATAATGTAAAAGCATAA